ATGGCGAGTCTCTCCTTAGGGGCCATCAAGTTCTACATTGCCTGCACTTTCTGTGTTGCCCATTCCTCCTGACTTCGTTTGGCCCCCCGCTCTTGACCTTGGAGAGCCTCGGGCTGCATCCCACAGTGACCCGCAGCTCGGCTGGAGTAGTAAGAGACGGCGCTCCGCCAGGATTGAGGGGAACGGCGCTGAACCCCTAAACCGAGCACGTGATGGAGGCCACGCCTTTCAAAAGGACTTTCAGGGTCCATACAGGGTAAACTGGAGGCAGCGGGGAGGGAATTTTATTTGCTTTCGTGTTTGGGTAGAAACAAGCGTGGAAGCGTCCCCCGAAGCAGGCTCAGGACCAAGGAGTGTTTTCCCATCCTGCACCGTCCTGAGTGCATTGCTCTGAAATATTTATGCGCGGTGCCTTCGGAAAACTCAGAGTCAGATACATGCTAACCCCCAACATTATTAATTTATCTAGCTCGATGGCCACCTACCTCCAGGGATCCCCGGGGGGCTTTAAACAACAAATAACTTTTAAAAAATATGTATCAAGATAAACTAAGTCAGCAGGAATGAAAGGACACAGGAATGAAAGGAGGTCAAAATAGAGGGAAAAGAATTCAGACACGGTCCAGGAGCCTCCCCTACGTCACGGGTATTTGTGTCAGTTGCTGGGGAGACAAAAATGGAGGCGAGGCAGCCACATTTCTGAGGAGCCTCGGGGAGGGAGGAGAAGGCCTGAGGAAACAAAGCAGAGGCGGTTACAGAAACCACAGCCTTCAAAAGGCTGCACTGTCAATAAAAAAGGAACTTGGGAAAGCTCCCCACCCCCCCTTGCCCCCACCCTGCACAGGAAGAATTACCCGGGAGGTTCTCCATCTTTGTCTGGGGGGAGAAAACTTACCTTTTAGTAGAAGTTTTAGTTTGAATTGGGATGCGTGATCATTTAGGGTTGGTTGAAATTTGGGGAACAAGAGGACCCCACGTTGAACAGTTAGCATTGAAATTGGACCTGGACTGACATGGCAGATGGGGTTTTTTCTCACCTCCAAAAAAATGGCTACAAGAGCATTGCCCCTCTTCCAACGTGACTTCGGCACACTGTTCTCCAAGACAAAGCCTGCGTGCTGCACACCTGCGGGCGCCAGTGAGCAGGGCTGGCCCTCCCTGCCCGGCCAAGCCACTGAAGGGGCCCCACCTCTTCAGCAACCTGCTAGAGTAACAGGGTGCAGCCAAGAGGGGGGACCCCAAATAGGGATTTGGAATGAGCTCCAGAACTCAGGGTGTCCAGGAAATATTAAGATGTCCTCACCCCCCCCCACCCACAGGTGTGAGTTGGGGGAAGGGACACATGGAGCAGGGCCATTGAGAGCTGTTTTGCACAGCTCTTTGCAGCTAACCTCTGGGGTGGTCATTTAGCATATCTCTAACCTTTGACTGGTTACATAGATATGTTAAATAGCTGTGGCCATGCTCTGAACCAGAGGAATGGAAGTAACTTCCCTCCCAAGGTAATTGAGGGGCAGGTCTCCCGAGTTACAGCGCCTGCGTGGGAGCTTGGAGATGATTGGCTCCATGACATGGGGCTACGCCTGCCCAGACTCATGATGGCAGCCCAGTAAAGCTGGAAGGATATGAGAGGGCTGGCAAGTGTAGCCAATGGTGGGAGGAGTCAGAAATGGGACTGCAGAGGAAGATTGGCGCGGGGATTTAAACCCAGACACGGCAGCCATTGGAGGGAGAACTACACAGCTTTGGCTGAGTTGGGACTCCCGTGGTCCTTGTGCAGAGAGGACCACACGGCTGGGGCAGTGGAGACAGACCCCCGCAACTTTAGAAGGGGGAACCACCACCCAGCTTTAGCAGAGATCCCGGCGACACAGCTGATGGTGCCGGGAACCGAGGGAGGCCTACCAGCTGAGACGGATTACTGGGAAGAACCAGGGGCTGCCTGAGCCACAGACTTCTATTTCTTCTCCTGAGATACGGTACCCCAGACTGGGCAAAGGGGGAAAGGAAGAACTGTGTGTTTGTGGGTGTTTTAGGGACTTTGGGATTTTGATGAAGACATTAGGTCACTACTTTAAGTTTGTATAGCATTAAATAATAAACATTTCCTCTCCTTTTCACGAATCTCTGGCATTGAGAGATGTCTTTCCTATAAGGCGGTGGACATAACGAGCCTGGGGGGTTCCTTTCATTAATAGTATATCGCCCTTGGCCACCCCAGGCCCCCCTTTGTTCTATAACACTAGTCGTACCTAATGGGTCCTGGGCGACTTCCTTGCCACCAGGCTCGGCCTGGAGTGTGAGCCGGGGCTGAAGCCTACGTCTGCCCGTGGCAGTGCGCTGGGCTGCGGGACTCCCGGCGCCGGCCCTGGGTCCCTGCGGGAAACCTCGCCAGCTCTGGGCCTTGCTCCCGGCCTGCAATTCAGCAGCAGCTTCCAGAGAAGAAAACCTGAAGCTCACAGGCAGTGTCTCCAGGTCTCAGACCGCATCAAGCCCTTGGCGGGGAGACGTTGGTTCGACAGAGCTGGACAGATGGACAAGGCTGTCTGTCAGGAATCAAGCAGCTGCTTTAAACTGCACCCAACGCTACTGGCAGCTCCAAGCAGCCGTTGCCTTCTGCAGGGCATTTTGCTAAGCCACAGAGCCCCCTACAGGATGCTGGGAGGAGTGCAGCCGTGGGAAGTCAAGTCACCCAGGACCGTGGGTGGGGCTCAGCCTTCCCTCCTCTGCTCCTCCCGCCCCCTTCCCTTATCAGGAACAGTGCCACCCCCCAGGCCGGCAAACCAGCAGGACCCCGAGCTCCCCACACCCCTCAGCCCACAGCAGGGGTTCCTCCCTGGGTGCCGGCTGACCAGTTCATCCCAGCAAACCTTTGCTGGCTGACTCCAGGTGGGGACCCCCACGGCCCAGGAAGCCCCCGCTCCATCCCAGGCGAGCCGCCGAGGTCACCGTGGGCGCTTGCCACCTCTGGATCCCAGGGACCCACCGAACCCTCTGGGGCAAGAGGTGTGGGCACAGGGGCAAACACCCACCAGGCTTCGAATATGTTTTACTGAGATTATTGTCTCAGTAACTGCAGCGTTCCCACTCTCCTCGGGTTGCCGCCTCCCACCCCCCCCCCGCCCCCTGCCAACCCAGAGGTGCTGTCAGCAGCGTCCTGGGAGCACCTGGCTTCGGCCTGGGGGGCAAAGGTGTTTGAGCCCCACAGAGGGGAGGGCTGGGGAGGCCGGCAGTCCCAAACCAAGGCCCCCCCGGGGGAGGCTTCCCGCTGGACCAGGCCTCGGGGAGAGGGAAAGCCTGCACCGCCTGCCTGGAGGAAGCGAGTCAGCTCCCTGTGTGCAGGTGGGATTGATTTAAGCTTCTCTCGGATTCCATGCGGCGGGCCTGAGCCCGGCGCGGCGCCGGTCCTGTTTTACCGCCCCGAGCCGGGTAACGAAGACGTTGCAGCGTTTCTCTGAAATCTCAGGGACTCTGTCTTTTTTAAAACCAGCTTCAGTGTGTTCCTCCCAGACGAGCCCCGGACTCTGGAGAAAACCCCAGAAAGCACTCGGCTGCCTCTGGCTGCGTGGCTCACGCCAGGGACCCTCCACACAGAGCGGCTGTCACTCTGTGTCACCTGCGTCATCGCAGGTTCCCAGACGAGCGTCCTGTGAGGCTGAGGAGACGCAGGCACCCCCGTCCCCAGCCCCCTTAAGGCTGCGCCACCGTCGGTGGAGGACCCAGTCCCCCTGAATGAGAGAGGTGAGGAAGGAATGGGGGGTACTGGCTTCCTCTGCTCGGTGCCTCGGGGCGTCTTCTGTCCGCTCCGGGCTGGGGGAGGTGCAGGAAGGGCGAGGCTAAACAGGTGTGCACAGGCCAGGCTGCATTTGCTACGCTCTCTGGGGCTCGACCCCGTCACAGGGACAAGCCTGGCCTGCACGGGCAACGGGAGGCCGCGACAGTCTCCACTTCTAACTGAACGAGAAATGGCCACTTCTGACAAGCTACCAAAATAGCACCTGGCAGAGAGGCCACTACAGCAATGCCTTAATGGCTGCTAATGGCACCGCAGAGGGACCGGGGAACCGGGGGCCCCGTCTGGGGCGCGCTGAGCGCGCTCACCGGGTGGCTGGGTGGGTGCCCTCATTTCCTGAGATCTGAGCCCCGAAACGGGCACGGCCTGCTCTAAAGGACCCTCTTCTGCAGACGGAGCGAGGACTCGTTAGGGCCGAGTTCCACACACGGAGTGAGGCTCGGGGCGGGGCGGGCTGGAGTGGGCTCCACGGGGGAGACACAGTAGGGGCGGCTGACGCACGCCAGGCTCCGAGTGGAAACTGGGACCCCCTCTGCGAGGCCCTGAGGGATGGCTAGTCAGTGCGGGGTGACATCAGTGCTGGGGGAGCCCCTCGCCACCCAGGTCCGGAAACCTCACTCCCGGGGCTATCGGCACACCCAGTAGTGGGATAGTGGAGACAAAGGGGAACCGATGGAACAGTGGTTTTGCTCATTGGCTACAGCAGTGACCTTGGCCGGGGCAGAGGTTGAAACTTTTCTCTGAAATTGGGTTCCTAGAGTATTTATCATTCTGTTTCCCTATTCTAAGCAAGTGCTCTCCAAACTTGACTCTGTGGCCATTACCTGGAGTTCTTGTTTGGCATGCAAATTCCTGGATTCTGGCCCCTGTGATGTGGGTCCCATTGGTGTGGTGTGCGCCCAGGGATCTGTATTTCTAGCAGGCGCCCCGAGTGCTCCCAGCGCAGGGGAGCCAAAGACCAGCGCCTGGGAGTAGCCGCTCTGGCCGGCACCCTCTCCATGTGTCGGCAACCCTGAGAGAGGGCTGCCCCGGCGTGTTCCCGGGCCCCCACACCACAAAGCCACCCCGACCCCGACACGGGTCTCCGAGCTGAGCCTGCACCGCCCCCCCCCCCCGCCCAGCAAACACGCTCACACCAGTTCAGCTCAGCCAGGTTTATTGGGCACCTACGACAGGCAAGGCACAGACCAGGGCGTGGGCGCAAGGACAGGGTGAGGCCTCGCCCCGAGGGGCTTGCGGTCTGTGGGGAGGGGCACACCCGCAGGCAAGAAGAGCTCAGGCAGGATGGGGCGCTCTCCCTGACACAGGCAAGGCAGCGGGGGGCGCAGGGAGAGCCCAAGTGTGCCTGGCTAGTGGGGGGAGGGGCATCCACAGCGGCGCTGACCCGGGAGAGGGGTGGCAGTGGCATCCGCACAGTGGGGCCGGGCAGAGGGCGGCCCAGGCACAGGAGAAGGTACAGCGGCGTGAAAGCCCATCGAACACAACACACACGTCTCCCTCGACCGAAATACAGGGTGCTGCCGAGACACGGGGAGCCCCAGCGGGGAAGCTGCGGGGGGGTGGGGATGGTAGAGGAGCTCCTGGGGGTGAGGGGTGTGGCTCCACCCAGCAGCCGCCCACGAGCCGCCGGAGGTTCCGGAGCAAGGGGGCCACTGGGTCTCGAGGCCTCAGCCCCGCGCCCCCTGCTGGACGCCACGGTTCGCGCTGTCTCTGCAAACTTCACTCTGAGTCACGGCCTCGGCCCCTCTTTGCTCAGGGTAGGAGCCCGTAGCGCCACACCCCTTCCAGGGCCGCGCGAAGCTGCCAAGTGGTGTGGCCTTGGGTGGGCCGACCTGGAGCCCGCTCAGCAGCTTGGCACCCTGTCACCGAAGAGGAGCGTGGCCTTCCAGGCCCATCTGGGAGGAAGGGCGAGGCACGAGGAAGGTGCTCGTCGTCCCGCCACTGCCGAAGCACAGCGCGGACACGCCGCGGAGGGAATGAGAACGCGGGAGAACGGGGCAGAGACACCCAAGGACATAATTGGCATCATCCACGCTGAACCATCTGCTAGTCGGCTGCCGGGAGAGCCCACCCCGCCCTGCAGCTCGCTGGGGAGGGGGAGGGCCTGCGGCCTCGCCCACTGGAATGGGTGGGCGGGGCTTCTAAGTGCCACTCAATGGAATCGGTGGGCGGGGTTTCTAAGTGCCCAATGCTAGAAGGTCCTCTGCAGGCCCCGCCCTCAGACCCCGCCTAGCTGTCCAGTGAGGAGGGAGAATGGCGCCCGCCCCCGCCCGTGCCACCCCAGCCCGAGAGTGGGTGCGAGGCCACTGCGGTCCAGGTGGACACGGCGATGCTGGTCAGCGAGGGCTCCCCCAGGACCTCCACACCCGCCGAGGCGGGTGCCTGGGTGGAGAGGGGCGCGGTCACCGCGGGGCTGCCCAGAAGAAATGCTCCCGGCGACCCGGCGTGCACCTCCGGGCCCGACCCGGCGGGGCCCCCGCCGCCGTTGCTGATGGTCCACAGGCACGGGTAGGGGCTGCGGAGACAGAGAAGGGGGGGCGGGCGTGGGTGGCATTCCCAGGAGCAGTCGCCCCTGACGAGCACTCGGCGTTGAGAGGGCCGCAGGCCTAGGAGGGGTCTCCCGGCCACGACCCGGTTTCCAGCTCGGACGCCGACGGGCCCTGTTTCTGCAGAGAGGCCAAGGGGGCGGCCAGATGTAGCCGGGTAAGCCTACGGTCGGTGCCCGAGACCTGAGCTTCGAGGCTGCTGGCCCTGCCGCTGGCAAGCCGCTCGCTTGTGACCAGAGCATCCTCACGTCTCTGCACCTCGCTCCTCGGGCCTGTGCGGAGGGCGGGCGGCGTGAAAGGGGCACTCGGACGGTCTGGCCTGCGAGCGAGACGCCTCACTGGCCGGGAGAGGCCATGCAGCGTCGTCACCGGACACGCCGGGGCCGGAGAGCCTGGGACAGAACCCCACCTCTCCCACCATCAGCTCTGTGACCTCCGCCAAAGCACTGAACATCTCTGAGCCTCCGTGTCCCCATCTCCCAGACTGGGGGTGATGGTTACGCGTACACGTCCGGATACGGCTGTGAGGGCCGGACAAGATGCGGAGGCGGGGGCCCAGCCCACGGCGCTCAGGGCAGGGTCGCGGTCAGCGAGTTCTCCCACCGGCCCCGAGGCCGGCTCTGGCCCCCGGCAGGAAGGCCAGCGGCTGCACCACTTTCGGGACCTCTCTCGTCCACAGGCCTGGCTGCACCGCGAGCCCCCCAGCGAGCGTTTGAGAGACAGCCGCCGGGGTCCCGCCCCCCGACTCTGACTTGCCCGGCTGGGCACCGGCCTGGGTACCGGGGTTTTTCAAAGCGCTCCAGCCGGCCGTCAGGCGGGGCCAGTCGTGCACCTTGACACAGACTCAGGAGGAAAGGACAGCCGCTGGAGCCAATGGCGGGGCCTCCAGGGCTCGGAGCCTCTCGCTCTGACTTGAGAACAGACTCGCTACCCGGTGACAGTTCTGACAGCGTTTCGGTCTGTCCCACTGCGGCCCCACCGAGCCGCTCATCTTATCACAGGCAGGGCAGGGCGGCTGAAGCTCCGGGAGGCTCAGGAAGTTGCCCGAGGTCACCAGGTCAGTCCAGGGAGAACCGGGACTCACACCCACGTCCGTCCGACCCCGGGCCCCCATCGCTCGCCCCCCACACCGGGTTCCAGAGGTCAGAACCAACGCAGGTCTCCGGTGGGAGAGTTCTGTGATGCGCCCCCATGCTGCACTGCGCCCTAATACCTGCATCGTGAGCCAGACACACCCCCGGTCAGGTGGGCAGTGTATACAATATGGACAGTGAGAAGCCTTGAGTTCTCGGCGTGAAGTTACACCTTTCCCCTTCGGTTCCCCTATACTCACCATCTACCTGCTAGCAACACCATTCACAGTATTTCTGCCTGGTTTGAGACAAACAATCCCAGGCCACTTCAAAGTAAAATACCAAAGGTCCCCAAAACCTGGCACGGGGCCGAGCAGCTGACCCCCCACCTCCCCTTCCGCAGGAACGAAAGTGCATCCTGTTCGCCCTCAGGGCCCGGAGGCTTAGGCGGAGGCATAGGAGTCAGGGCAGAGGCGCCCAGGGCAGCCTGGGGAGAAGGATGCCCCTGTGTCCCCCGTGCTGATATACACTGCCCCCCGCCCCCCTGCCGGGACCGATGGGCAGGTCGCGGGCGCTGGTCCTACCTGGGCCCTGGGTTCATGGGGCCGCTGGTGTGGGGCACGGACAGGATGCTGGCGTGCGGCGTGGGGGGTATGGAAGTCCAGCTGTCGGCTCCAGAGAAAACTTGCAGATTGCTGCCGGGGCTCTCTATCAGATTCACTTCGGAGAGATAACAACGAACGGTTCAGTGGACGGAGCATGCAGACCTTACAAAGACGGTGACGGGTGACGTCATCCTGCAGCCACACACAGCAGTGGCTGCGCTACAGGGGCCAATGAGCAGTCGCCTCTCGCACACGCCCCGCCCAGACTGGACCTGCAACCCAGGCACGTGCCCTGACCGGGAATCGAACTGGGGACCACAGAGTCATCACGCCCATTAGAACCAGGAGACTTGGTGTCTTTTGAGAAAGTTACAGAAACGCCAGCAAGGTTATAACTGCACAGTTGACCCTTTGTATGTAAAACAAAACATTACCCCGATAACGGACAACAGAACCCTACCTGTGTTAGGAGAAAGGGGCTGGTCTCCAGGCACTTCTTCCTACCTGCTGTTTATCCATCTCTCTCCTCCCCACCCCGCCCCCACCCCCAGCCCGCCCCCAAGGGTGTCACGGTGGGCAGAGCCACACACCTGAGGCAGCGTGGTTTCTGTGCACGTATGCAGAAGGGTAGGGGGTCTGCCGGTGTCCCCGGAGGCCAGGGTGGCGCTCACAGCCTCGGTGGGTGTGGGGCGCGGACAGAGGCAAAGGGGCCGCGTACTGGTAACTGGCATTTCCCGCGGGGCACGCGCCGTCCGGATTGGAGAAGATCCAGCCTCCCCCTGGAACCGACAAGGGGGAGACACAGAGCCTGACACCCAAAATCGGGGTCCGGGCCACTTGGCACCGCCATGTTTCTATGCAAACGACACTGCGCGTCGGTCTTGTGTACAGAGATACCACCCCCCCGGCCACGCCCCTTCCGTCGGTCTCTCTGGAGATGGATGACTGACAGGTCCTACCCAAGTTTGCAACCGGGAACCACAGCGGTGTATCAGACTGCTTGAATGTGTGAGTGAGAGGAAACTCGAAGCTTCAGTTGCTTCTGACTTCACTGAATTAAGAGTCAGCCCGAGGCGGAGGGGGTGTCGGCCGCGTGCAGCTCACTGACCTACGGCTGCTGTCCGGTGAGGCCCCGCACAGGGGAGGGGCGAAGGCCGCTGTGTTTCCGCTCCGTGGGGAGGCCCTCCCGCCTCCGTCACCCCCACGGAGAGGACCCCTGAGCTGAAAGGGAGCTGGCTGGCGTGCCTTCACCGCAAGGATCCCGCAAGGTATTTTGGAAGGCTGCAGAGTGTTTCATAGAAACTCGTGAATGTCGCCTCAATCGATACAGAAAATGCATCTGACAATATTTAACATGCTTTCGTGACTTAGAAAAACACACACACAACAGACTAGGAATAAGGGGAAACTGCCTCAACGTCATCCAGGCCACAAGCCCACAACCAACAGCGAACTCGACCGTCATACACGGGAAGCCTTTCCTGCGAGATCAGGAGCCAGACAAGGGGACCCATTCTTGCCACCTCTGTTCAGTGTCGCGCCAGAGGGCCTGGCCACGGTCGTCAGCCAAAATAAATGAATAATACAAAGAGAGAAAAGACATCTGGATTGGAAAGGAAGAAATAAAATCATCCCTGTTCCCTGCTGACATGATCTTATAGGGAGGGAACCCTGGAGCTTACACACGCGCACGCACACACACGTGTTAGAACCAACAAACAAATTCGGCAAAGTCACAGGACACAAAATCAACACAGAAAATCGGCTGCATGTCCATACGCCAACAATGAACAGCCCAAAAAGTACAAATCAAGAGAACGGTTCCATCTGCAAGAGCTTCAGAAAGGATAAAACAAGCAGGAACAAACTCCCAAGGAGGCAGGAGACACGCCAAGGGGGAGACCGCAGAACTGTTGCCGGGAGACAGTAAAGGAGGTGCAGACAGGGAGACAGTAAAGGAGGTGCAGACAGGTGACAATGAAGACCTTCTATGTGCATGAGTTGGAGGGCTTCACATTATGGGAATGTTCACGGGACCCAAGCGACGGACAGATTTCTCAGCCCCCTGTCAGGGCCCCAGGGGCATTCAGGGCAGAATTAGAAAAAAGCAGCAGAAGTCCATCCGAACGCTCAAAAGACCCCAAAGAGCCAAAACAACCTGGAAAAGAACAAAGACACTCGTGCAAAGACGAGGGCTGCAGGGCCCCCTCGATCGGGTGCCGGAAGGAGACTGAGCGGGGAGGGGCGGGGGTCCGGGTGGAGGGCAGAACCGCGGTTCGGTTTGCGGGGAGGAGAGGGGAGGAGCTGTTTGCTGGGTTCCTTCTGGGGGTCGGCTGCGGGGGTCGTGTGCAGTACAACGGGCTCATGGCCGGCAGTGTTTAGTGTTGACTCGGATTGTCGGAAGGGTGCATTTTTTGTCACGTGTCTCTTTGCTACGATAAGAAGAAATGAGTGAGGGTTCTCAGAGAAGGCTCCGCTCCCTCTGAGTCACAGGCAGAGACTGAGATGAGGCCGCCCCGAGACACAAAGCACACGCTCTCGCCGCCGGCCTCTTCTGCGTGAGGACCCGGAGAGGACCAGAGCTGCTCCTTGAGAGTGCTCTAAGGGCTGTCACCGCGGAAGTGGACCTTTTATTTCAGACCGCTGTCTTTGCTGCATACTTGCTGAGGATAAGTAAGCCAACTGTACAGAGTTCCTCTTACAAAGTGTGGGTGAGTCACTGCCCACAAACCCTGTGGTCCTCCTCTCCATGTTCCGATGTTGCCTAGACGTGGGGCCCGCAGGGTCCCTACCTGCCTTTGGGATGAAATTCGGGGGTCCGGTTGGGCACAGCCAGGCAAGCGGCTTCCTAGAACCAGACCTCAGGGCGCTCAGTTCACCACACGCTAGGCACGGGGCTCAAAACCGTCACTCAGAAGCCTACAGTGAGTGAACATTGAAAACATGCGGTTCTGCATGTGGCCCTATCTTTACAAAAACCTTTGATCCCCGGTCGCTCTAAAGAGAGCTTTTCTGGGAGCCGCTGCTCTTTCTGTGGCTCCGCTGAAACCTCTGCTGCGGAGGGAGACGCATCAGGGTTTCGGGAGAGAGGGGCTCCCTAGGAACCCCTGGGAAACTGCAGGAGACACCCTAGCGAACACTACAGTCTGAATTAAAGAGCGTGTCACAGACACCACGGTGTGGTTAGCTTTCCACGCCGACGTCCCTGACCGAGGGTCACTGTTGCAGCTTCAGAGCCTGGCCGTGGTGACCAACATGAAAGGAATCAAGGATGAAGAACGGGAAATGAAGGACAGAGAGGCCGGAGCGCAGAGGGTGGGGGTGGAGACGCGGCCGGGCGCACACCGAGGGCCTTCCGCGTCACTGGCGTGAAACCAGAGTCGGAGAAACGCATCCTTCCCACTCTCATCTGCTGCCTAAGGCTTGCTGACGCCCCTAGGAACCCCGGTCCCCTCTGGGAGCTCTTGCAAGTGCAGAGACCTGTCTGGAGCAGAGGAAATAACCCGCCGGGTGTGGATGGGGGATTGGGGTGGGCAGGGAGCAGTCCCGACAGGCCAGGAGTTGGATGAGGTGGGAGATGGCCCGGGGCCCCCCAACCCCATGCCCCCCACCCCGCCCTGACTCACAGCGGGAACAGGCCGAGTGCTGGCTCTCGGAGACAGCTTCCGGAACGTCCTTCAGGTGGTTCCTGAAAGAGGAGCAAACGCGCCATCCAGCTCACCACACCGGTTGGCCCCTAAGTCTCTCTGGAGAGCAGCGCCATTCTTGAAGACCAAACACCCTTTTTTTCTCGAAGCGACTACCTTGCTCCCACCCCCCCTTCCTCCGGGGCACTTTACGGACCTGGGCAGCTGCTCTCTGAACTGCAATCGTGTGGTTCTCCGAGTCGCCACGTTTGTGACTGCCCCCACTCGGTTACCTGACCGACCTCTGGCCGTCGCTCCTACCTGACAAAATCCACACGCTAGCGACAGCCGCGGTTTGCAGGGGACTTCAAGGCGCAACCGCACCTGCGCTAGGCTGGACCCGCCAACCAGCCTGCGAGGGAAATGTTACTACACCCACTTTTGCAGATTTAAAAAGTGGATCTCAGAGGTACACACGTCGGCCAGACCAGACCACCAGGAAATGGCAAAGCGCAGACTCTAAGTCAGAGCCTCGGACTCCAAGTCCTGAAGGCTCCTGATTGCACCACGTTACTGCCACTCGAACCCGGGTTCTGTCATCTCACCCATCAGATTTTCGTTAGGCCCTGACTTATCCGAAAAAGTGATAAGTGTGTCTTTTACGTCCTCGAGGTTAAGTCAGACATTGCCAGGACAGATCCATGGGGCATCGTTATAAATGGCTGTCCCTGAACCTCGAGCCTTGAAGACGAAAGGGGAAGGTTAGACAGTTATAAGAGGTGTCGTAAACGGCCTGGAACTCAGGCAATAGGATCAGTGGTGATCACATCTGCACTCCACGCCTTGTTGACAGAAGTCATTGAAAAGCTCCATTATTTTTTCATTTTTTCCTAGAACGGAAAGATGCCGAGACTGAAGTCACTGGCCCAAAGCGGTAGAATTATCATGCACATCCCAGAGTCTCTAACTCCTCTCGGAGCTGAAAGAGATGAACCTCGTACCTTTATGACTTCCTCGCCTTTCGTAGGCGAAATGTAGTTTGTTTGCTTTTTTTTTTAGTGCAACTTATTGGAACCATGAAACATAATTGGGGAGTGGCAGAGTGAACTAGTTAAAACCTAAATACTTCATCATTGTTAAGTGCGGTCATGCTGCTTTCAAGAACCCACAGCAAAACAGCTGATGAAACATCGGCAGCCAGAGATTCCTCTCCCGGGCCTCTTCCATGAGGAACGGACGGTCACGAGTGTGCTGGATCTTACTGACCTTGTTAAACATCGACTTAAATACTGAAAGCCTCTTTCTCTCAAAGGTAAAGCACGTGCTCCCAGCCCAGCCCGTCCTGGACAGCCGGCCACACAGCTCTCATGTGCGGTGGTCAGTGCGTAACATTCGACGGCAGCGTCTCGACTCACCTTTCCTTGGCGTCCAGGAAGGCCTTGGCAAAGGGGTTGTACTTGATTTTGAGAGCTGTTATCTGCGTGCACAAAGACAAGAAGAGTCAGTGACAGCGGGGCACGCTCGAGCAGACAGAACCCGCTGTCCTCTCCCGGGGCATTCTGCAAAGTCAATGTCACCCTCTCCCTCTCCATCTTCCCCTGCTCCTTGCTCTGCTCGCTTCTGCACGGAGCCACCCCCGGCGCCGCCTCCGGCAAAGGACCTTTTACTGCGGCCTGTGGCGAACATGCAGATGTGGCGAGTGTGAGCAGAGGCAGGACAAAGCCTCGGGGATGACAAAGCCTCCTGTGTGAACCCTGGCTTCCTTTCTCTGACCGATTCATTCGCTGCTTTCAACAATTCCGGAATGCCCCATGTCAGCGGCATTTCTGGTCGCCGGTGACACAGGGGAAGGCAGGGCAGGGAGACCCGCCTCCCCGAGAGAGAGCCGGCTGGCGTCAGCTCCCGCCTCCTTAACTCATCCCCCACACGGGCCCTGGTGGCTCTCACTCCCACCGTCACTCTGTCGTCCCCCCCACCCCCTGCCTTAGCCTGCTCCGTTTTTCTTCAGGGCCACCTAACACGTATCTGTCATGTGTCAGACATGGGATAAATGTGACACATTATATTTGGTCTTCGTCTCTCCCCACGGTGCCTGGGGACAGAGCACACGTCTGTTTTACTCGCTGCTGCATCCCTAGCACCCAGGGCCCCCGGCGGGTGGCCGCCCCCGCAAACATCTGCTGAAGGAGCGATACTGGAAAGGATGTTCCCGTCGGCCAAGGCCAGAGACGCGCCTCCCCCTCCTGGCGCGGGAGCGGGGGCGGGGGAGGAGCCCAGGAGGGAGGGAGGACCTTTCTGGGTCACGTGGGCATGTCCGGTCTTTCTCCCCGCCTCGTGTTCAAGGTGATACATGTGACTTTTAAATGCCCACAGAGTAGACGAATAGTACGGAAGTGTGCAGTGCAAATGAAAGATGAAAGGTAAAAAAGTATCCTCTCCCTCCTGCCCATGGTCCCATCCTCCAGGGTCATGACAAACACCAGCTCCGTGTGTCTTCCCCACGCGTGTTCTGTACACATGTAAGTCTACAGTCACGTCTACATTTAAAAGTGGTTTAAGTACAGTCAGAAAGAATCCACACCTCTGCAGGCGCTGGGGCCCCAGAGGGCAAGGATGGACCCAAACCGCCCGCCTGCCCCCCACCCTGGTCAGCGGCCACTCTCCGGCGACCCGGCTCTCACGGCCAGAGCGGCTCCAGCCAGGCAGGGGAAGACCGAACCGTGCCCAGAGGTCGGCCAGCCAGCAGCACAGACGGCACGACACCACCGATGGAGGGACCGATTTGGCTGGGTGGCCGCAGACCAGCTTCCAGAGCCGGGGAGACCCCCAGCTCCGCGCCGGCCAAGGGCACAGACTTGCGTGGGGCCTCTCACGACGCTCCACCTGCCCAGTGCCGCCAGCACTCCCCGTGCCGGCGGGCCTCCGGCACACGGGCAAGGAGCAGCAGCCAGCTGAGTGCACCCGACCCCCGGGAAGCCTACGCGGCAGCCCAGGTCACAGCCCAGGTCCGTGGGGGCAAGGAAAGCACCCCGCCCCCTCCCCCAGGCTCTCCTGGGCCGTACGCATGCGCGCGCGCACACACCCCCCTCACCTCCTCGTTCTGATAGGCTGTCACCGCAATGAACTGGGTTTCCGGGAAGGAGCAGTTCATGACCATGCGGTGCGCGCCGCCCACGCGCACTATGTGCACCTGCGGCTCGTACTTGTGCAGCGAGTTCAGCATTATCTGTCGAGAAGCGAGAGGAGGAGGAAGACAGGGCAGGCGAAGCCCCGGCTCTCCCGGGGGTGGGCGGGCTGCTCCCTGCGGTCGCCCCAGCCCTGCACCCCCCAGCCAGGGCCGCCCACTGGGAATCCTCAGCCCCTGAGGTGGCGCCACGCCTGCCTGCGACATGAGGGGGGATTTTCCCGGAAGCTTCCAGGACCACCATGTTGGTGCTTATGGCGGGGGGCGGGGGGCAGGTATGCCAGGGCGCTGCTGTTCTAAAGAATATTCAGTCTTCTGCTGAAACCCTGATTCCCCTCCTTTCCTGTCCCTATTTTCTGCAGAACCCTGCGATTCTGACCGATTAAAACACAGGGGCTCCCTTCACTGGCCGGAGGACTCCGGCAGCCGAACCCCGGACCAGGGCTCCTCCCAGCACGGGCCACCCAAAGAGAAGTGCCCCCTGACCCCGCCGGTGACGGAAAACCCACCCCACGCCTCCAGATTGGGTGAGAGTCTCCTGTGGTGAAATCTGGGAGGCAACACAGTTTACTTTTCAATTTCCTGCTTTCATAAAGATCTAGAACCTTCCGAAAATGGCAACGACTTGGGTGGATTACCTTCCCCTCCGGGCTGAGACCTGGGGAGGGCGAACAGGCTGAGGGCGAACAGGCTGAGGGCGAACAGGCTGGCCGGGGGAAATGCGGGGAGAACAGACCTTTCCCTGCAATCCCCCCAAACTCTACAGGTTATGAAGCGAAGAACGACCCTACACGGTACACGAGCCTCCGTCATCCGACCGGAGAAAACAAGAGCGAGAAAAAGCCCCCAAATCTTGTCCGCTCTAATTGAAGACCTTAAGTAAACCCTTCCTAATTTGAGGTTTGTTTGTCCCTGTGTTCTGCAAACCCCAAGCGGGTTCCATAGTCTATTGATAATTATCCTGATGCCCAAGTGGAGGTAGCAATTATTTCATTAGGAGCAGCTTTCGATGAAGGCCTTTGTCCACTGCCAGCACGCCACTCTCGCCAAAAAAGAGGGAGAGGGAATAACAAAACCTCCCACCCGCCCCTCCCTGCCTGGCTGGAAGAACCGTGAAAGGGCCCGTGGTTTTAAGTAAGCTCTCTCCCCACATCAGGGAGTCCATTAAAAACTGAAAGCACCAATTAAGAGCTGTTTATTCCTGTTTACATTTGGACTCCGGGGAATAATTGGCTCCCTGGGGAGAAGAGGCCCCGGAGGACCCCTCTAATTGACTAAATGCACACTCGTTTTTCTTGGTTGGCGTTGGGGGGCGGCCGGCGGCCAGGCCGGCCAAGATCGTACCTGCCCGCCTCCGTTGAGCTTGTTGGTGAGCTTGACTTTGCTGAAGGAGATGGGCGCCTTCATCCAGTGCGCGCCGAAGTTGGGCGAGTCCGGGTGGATGTAGACGCAGCTGTGGCCGGGGGCCTCGGGCTTGCCCGCGGGCACCCACTCCCCGTTGACGTACTTCCAGCGGTGGCCGTCGGTGGGGACGAAGTCCAGCAGCAGGGAGTACATGGCACTGGGGTCCAGCCCCGTGACGCTGACCTTCAGGACGGGGAACATCCGTCTGAAACGGAAGGCGGGGGCTGAGCCACAGGAGGGGCGTTCCCGTGTCAGGGACACCGGCCCCCTCGTCTGGCCGTCTGTCCACCCTGAGCTCTGCCATGGAGGGCCTCGGGGGCACACAGAACGCCCGTGGAGAGGCCAAGGAAAGGGGGGCTGAGCCGGCAGCCCCAATTCCACCAGAGGCTCTGTTCACAGACGCATTGCATATTGCGGTTCCCCTCTAAACCGCTGCATTCCACGCTCAAGTCTGCAAGCCACTGATCTAGCCACCTGACAGAGGAACCTGAAGCCCGAGGTCAGGGGTGGGACCCCCACACCCACACCCACGCCACAGGGCTGTCCTTCCCAGCCTCACGAGAACACAGTCTCCAAACAACAGTCAGAGCCCCGAGGGCGGAATCGTGGTTTCAGGGGCAAGTGAGAGAGGGCAGCTCCTGGCTGGACAAAGCCGGGCCAGCGCCCTTCCTGCAGGACCCCTCGGGGCCTTTACCGCCCTGCAGAGCCCACAGACCTGCGAGGGGCAGGCCCAGGCCAGTGCACATTCTGAACCTGGGTGACAGCAAAGCCAACTTCTCATGTGCTTCTCACGGGACGTGCTCCGGCCTGGACTCCAGTACTGGGGACTGGAGCTCGCCCCATGGCAGAGCCACATTGGGCTCCTCCCGCCTCGTGGGGGCCAGGACGCGACCTGTGTCCACCTGCGGGCAGCGCCCACGGCAACGCTTGTTTCCAGGGGTGAGCCACCCTTCTCCTTGGGTTGATTCTGCCGCCTCTTCTTCCCATGGTGCCGCTCACCACAGAGACGCCCAAGAGCCTCCGAGGAGCTGAGGAACACGTAGGTCAGTCCCCGACTTAGGGAGCAGGAGCGGGAGGGGGCGGACGGACAGACAGACACAGGGTGGCAGGTGAACAAGTGCTCCCCAAATCTCGATGGAGGAGCCACGGGCGGTGGTGCTGCCCGTGACCTCTGTTGCTTGGCGGTGAGTCTGGGTTTCATTTCATCTCCCTAACGGGGGCCCTCGGAGGCAGCAGGGCCAAGGGAGGCATGAGGAGGGAGAACGGAGTCTGCAGAGGCACGGGGGGCGCTGTGGGCGGCAGAGCAGCAAAGGGGAGCAGAGGCCCCACTCAGGGGGCGTGGCTTGGAAACGCCTTCCTCTGCCCCCCCACCAAACTGTAATGTCCGTGCAACCGCCATCACTCTCGTGCATGTGAGAGTGTGTGTGAGTGTGAGTGTGTGTGTGTGTGAGTGTGTGTGTGGGGGGCGGATTACACAGGTACATGTACTCCTCACAAACCACGACGGCACACTTCGGGGAGGCAGGTCTGTGGCGCAGGGGCACACGGACACTGATTTGCCCAGTGAGCAGCCCGGACTTCCTCCGCTCCTGCAGGGGGCCCCCTGGAAACCGGGAGCGAGCCTGGGCTGCCTGCGCCCACCGCCCGTCACCGCGGGCGAATTCCATCCCGGGTCCCGGACTCTTACTTGACGACAGCAGATGGGCGTGCCTGCCCAGGCCACCCGACTCAGAGTTCAGTCGCAGTTGATTAGCGGGGCGGGAACACACGTGCAGGGCAGCACCTCCCCCGGGGGAAGGGAGTTGCAGCAAGGAGAATGGAATGGGAGGTACGAGGGGTTTCATGCATTTGCCTCTGAAACCTGGAATGCGTCTCCTTTTCCTGCAGCTGAAGGAGAGTCCCGAGCTGGGAGGGTGCAGAGGAGACGCCGAGAGTGGACACACCGGAGATGGTTCAGGTGCGCTCCGGGAGGCAGAGCCGTGAGCTCTGGAAGGCGGGCGACGAGTGGGAAAGAGGGTGCAGGGCGCACGCGGGAAAGGAGCGCGGGGGGGGGGCGGTGAAGTAGCACGAACAGAGGGAGGGAGGGAGGAGTGAAGGGCGTCCAATCCCAAGTCCGGGGGACAGTTCGGGGTTTTCCGGGAAAACCCTCTCTCTTTACCACTTCTCATCCCTGTGAGTTTATGGGAATGAGCCTCCAGTTTATGCGGATAAACGGCTCTCCACTCGAAAACGAGGCTTTTCCTTCTCTCATCACTCCGTCCTGTGCTATATCTCAAACCTCGCCACGACTCAGCCCAGTGAGGGCCCCCCTGCCCGGCTACACAGGAGCGGAGGACCCCACCGGAGGCTTCGAGGAACGGCACACCCTCCACTGCCGACAGGGGGCGCATGGGAACAGAAGGTCCAGGCTGGGGGCTGCATGCCTGGGAGGTGGTCCTCCACGGGCAAGGGCCACAGGCCCACCCGCCTCGGGCTCGGGAGTTGGTGTGGGCGATGCGGGGGCAGGGCATCTGGAGGGGGCGCGGTCCAAGGACGTGGGCACTGTGTGTTTCCAAATGGCCACTCTGACCACCAGACAGACAGACAGACAGGGTGGTTGAAGAGGAGGGGCAAACGGAGACGAAGCAGGCGGGGAAAGAGAGCAGAGCCAGACTGGCGTGTCCATGCCAGGGGCGGCAGCAGCGCCGCGCCAACCGTCGGGTCCGGGGAACTGGGAGGCCCCGCCCCTCCGGAGGAAGCCGGTTCCCATCACCCACACGGACCCCGCAGAGGCTGTCTCCCAGCTTCACCTGAAGAAGGCGCGTCCAGGTCTCCCGGCAGAGCTTGGACCCAGAGAGGGTCAGAGACCCTAAGAGGACCCCAGGAAAGACTCCGATCACGGAGGGGGAGCAGCAGCAGGACCGCCCCGCAGAGGAAGAAAACCGAGCTGAGTCGGATTTTTCCTACACGAAACAGTTCACGTCGGATGACCTGGACCACGGGAAGGACTCTCAGTGTCAAACACGGAGGAAAACTTGTGTAGGTGAAAAAGGCAGGAGAAAGTAGTACAGGCCAACGTGACTAACATTAACAACATCTAAATTGAATTTTAAAACGGCATCAGAGACTTTCCTTTAGTCCTTATTGAAAGAGCTGAAATGTATTTTTTACTGGGTGACTGTGTGTTTCCAAATGGCCACTCTGACCACCAGACAGACAGACAGATAGGGTGAGGCGAGGCGTCAGCTTGCCCACCACCCCGTGTGCGTGGAGAGTGAGCAGAGAGCCCACCCGGGATCGGACATCACGTTTTTACGATCGCACCACCACTCACGCTTGCCCAGAAAGCAAATCCAACCAGGGATCTGGGGTGACGCCTTCAAATAAAAAACACGTTTCTATCTCTTCCTACCCAAAACAAGGTGTAGCTACCGATAGAGACTTGGAACAGTTACGGACATTAAAAGAAATGCCTGCTGCCCCGGCTGGCGTAGCTCAGTGGATTGAGCGCGGGCTGCAAACCAAAGCATCGCAGGTTCGATTCCCAGTCAGGGCACATGCCTGGGTTGCAGGCCACAGCTCCCAGCAACTGCACATGGATGTTTCTCTCTCTCTCTCTCTCTCTTTCTTCCTCCCTTCCCTCTCTAAAATAAATAAATAAAATCTTTTTAAAAAAAGAAGAGAAATGCCTGCTACACAGGAAAGAAGTGGGGCCCACTGAGAGCGGGAACACACGGATACCGAACAAGTCGGCTGTTCCTGGCCCCAGGGCGGGGGGGGGGTGGTGGCAATCACAGCGGAGCGAGGCGCCCTCATTTCTGGCCCGCCCGCCCCGACAAAGCACTCCAGCATCACGTGACAGCACGCACGGCTCCGGAGTTCTCCTGGATAGACCAGGCACGGTTCGCTCTGTACCCTGAGCATTTTATTTTCACAGAACGGGACAGCGCGGCTTCGGGAATGGAGACACTTCACTCAAGGACAAAAGCCTTCCAGAAGTTCAGGGGCCTGGCTTCTCTCCACTGGAGAGTGGGGCGTCCCTCTCGGGGTGACCGCGACAGCCCTGCCCGCCCTCACCCGCAGGGGGTGAGAAGAAGGGGAGTGGACGGTGGCTGGACGCCGGCAGCCTGTGCAGCCAGGCAGCGAGCGGCACAGTCCTCTTGCAGAACAGTCGTGTCTCTCCTCCCAAGCGAAGGCTTCTAAAATTACCTCGACAGCCTCTCGGCGGACAGGATTTAATAGAATCCAAGAAATGCCAACAGACACCAGTTCCGTTAATCCCCCGCCTGTCGAAATGAGAAAAAAGAGACACCTTCCCCTCTCTCAGGAGGCCCGTTTTTTTTTCGTTACCTTTGACCACAACAGCTCACGTCTCCCTCCTTCCCTCTCTCTCTCTCTCTCTCACACACACACACACACACACACACACACAGGCACGCGCCACACACAGGCCCGGGAAGCAGGGGTAGTGACAGGCATCGATGAAAAGGTGCCCGTTGGCTCACCATGTCAACCAGTCAGAAACCTCTGGCAAGTTTTTGCACTCGAGCAGAAACCGCCCGGCTCCCACATAAACTTGGCTTTCGCCTTGTCTGCACCACGCAAGGGCTCGGGTCTGCCCCAGGACACCGTCTGCCCACACCTGCCCTCGCTTCCTGACAGGTGAGCGGATCTCCCCGACCCAGCGGGCATGCCCCCTTCAGAGCGATTCCCCAGACTCTCCCCACTGCAAATGCACGCCAGACGGGTGGCTTCGCCCTCCACTTCCCCGATGACCTCGGAGAAATTAATCACGCTGGCACGAGCAGCGTGTGAGACGGCTCTCAGGAGTGTGTTTCACCAGCGGCCTCCACACTACCCCGGGGGTCCCACCGCCCGCCCCAGCCCAGGCAGCCCCCGCGGGGCGGCAGACCGAGTCACCTGCCGTTCTTGGTCACGATCATCTCATTGGTGACCTCCTTGAACCTCTGCCAGAGAGGGGCGTCCTCCAGGATGATCTGAAGCTGCTTTTCCGTGGGGTCGCCTTTCTCCCTGCCGGCCTGCAGCTCGCTCTCCACCACGGTGAGCAGGCGGGAGATGGAGCCGTCGCCGGCCTTCTGCGCGCCCAGCTCGCTCATGGCCACGGGCCGCTCTCTCGGACAGAGAACTGGGGGCCGAGCGGCGTGCCCCGGGCCCTGCCCGCTGCCGCCTCCCGCAGCCTGCCCCCTCAGTCCGCTGTGAGAGGCCAGGGCCTGGGGAGCCGGGGAGAAGACGCCTGGCTCTTGCCTAAGCTCCTAGCATGACACCCCTTAAAGTCTCCAAATTATACACCAACCTGTTAAGCCTCAGTTGGGGGGGGGGGCGGTACAGGGAGGGGAGGGGGGGAAGAAAAAGCCCTCTCTTAATTACTCATTGGATCAGGTGGAGGAGAGCCCAGCGCTGCCATTGGCTGCCGAGCACAGAGGAACCGTTTAAGAAGAGTACTCCATCCAAATTACCAGGCTTTTATCTTGTTGTACCTGAAGAGGTCTAATCAGTGTATTGAGGACCATTTTCCCATTAATTAAAATCATTCCAGGCCCAGACTGCCACAATCAGGCGAATCCTGTGTGTGTACAAACCACGGCATGTGGCACCTATAGGAATGGACAAACTCGAGGCCGATGCAGGCCCGGGAGACGAGGGCACCAGTGGGAGTGTGACCACCGCGCCAGGGGGCGAAGGTGGGCTGCATGCCGTGGCTCGGGGTTGGAGGTCAGAGGTCAGAGATCAGGACAAAAGAGCGGAGGACCCCTTGCCTCCAGGCGTCCCCGGCAGGTCACCCCTCTCCACACACCCGCACCCTGCTCACCTCCCACAGACGGACACGCTCTGAACCTCGTCCTTCCGCCCCGGGACCCAGAGCCCCGTCTTCCTCACCTGAGCCCTGGCCCGCGGGAGGAATCCCTCCCTCCCTCCCTCCCTCCCTCCCTCCTCAGCACCACCTTCATCTCCCCGAGGGAACAACACTTTGCCTCCAGCCGGTGGAAAGAAGCTTCTGGCGTTATCGTGCACAGCAGCTTTGGTCCCGGGTCCAGGGAGGCGCTCCGGCCTTTTCCTTAGAGCAGGGCGTCAGACTCATGTCCACCGGGGGGCCACATCGGCCTCACGGTCACCTTCCAAGGGCCGGAACAGGTTCAGGACTGTATAAATGTGACGGCTCCTTCGCTGCTAAGGAGCTGGAATTACATCCGGCCCTTGGAAGGCAACTGCGAGGCCGATGTGGCCCCCGGCGAACACGAGTCTGACGCCCGTGCCTGCGACCGTCCGTGGCACTCGGGGGAGGGGGACCCCACATCCCCGGGGGAGGGGGACCCCACATCCCCGGGGAAGATGCCAGCGGCAATGCTCCTTTCGCCCCAGACACCCGATGCCACCCAGGACAGGCAGAGCCCACACTTCCTCCTCCACCCTGAGTGGGACCCGGGGGTGTGGGTTCTTCTTGCTACAACAGAGAGTTGGGAGGCCAAACCTGAAGGAAAATAAAAGTAAAAACGGAAGATCAAGTCAGGGTGAGGAGGATGCGCAGAATACGTCCAGGGCCTGCTAGGTGCCGAGGCCTGGTGACGCGTCACACCCCGTGACGGATGGAACAGCAGTGGCCGCACCTCCCAGGGGGGAGAGAGGTGAACCACGCAGATGGGCAAACCGGGTCGCTGAGGCTGTGGGGGGGGGGGAGTGGGAGGGGGGGGAGGGGGAGGGACATGGGTGCCGGGCCGGTGGGGAGGACCGAATGAGAGGGGGCCGTAGGGAAAGGCTTCTCTGGGGAGGACACAGCTTGGCTGAGACCGTCAAGGAACCATGCACTCGGCCAGGGAAGGTCTGGGGGAGGGGCGCCACACTCAAGAAGCACGAGGCCGGGCCAGTGACAAGACACGGCGTGAGGGGACAGCCGGGGGAGGCTGCTTCGGCGGGGGCCTGATCAGCTGCCGCAAGGACCCGGGCTTTAGTCATCCTGGGACAGGACGCCGCCGGAGAGGGCTGCACCGGAAAACGGCGTGACTTGCTTTGCGTGTTTACAAAGCTGGCTGGGGTGGGGACAACGGGCAGTAAAAGGCAAACGCTGAAGTAAAGAGACAGACGAGGAGGCTGGTGTCATGGTGCAGGCGAAAATGGTGGCATCTCAGCCTGGCGTGGTGGCCATGGCACAAAGACATGTGGTTGGACTCCAGATCCATCTCAGAAGTAGCTACGAGAGAATGACATGAGGGACTCGGTGTGGGGGCGGCGGGGAGTTTAGAGGGTGGCTGGGCCGTCTACTGGGATGGGGAGGCCACGGGGAGGTTTGTTCCGGAAGCAACAAGAAATTGACACAAACACCAGGAGATCTCTAAGTGGGGATTTCAAAAAGGCTGAGAACCAGGACACAAGTGTGGCTCTGAGCTTCCTAGCAGCCAAGGCAAAAAGGGAAACACGACCTGGCATACATTAGTCTGTGTTCCTACAATAAAAACAAGCCATTTGCCTGAGAGAAACTGCTCCTGTGAATCTTTATAACAAAAACACCGTGACCCAGTGAACAAGGTTTCCCGGAACAGTCCAGAAACACCAGCAGGATGCGGATCCCGGCCTTTAAACAGTTTCACAATCTAGGAGAGCGAAAAAAGCATGTGCCCAGAGAATTCCAATATAGAGACGTGTCAAGTGTTTTGGAGAAAAGAAGGAAACACCATTTTTTCTTAGTCGTATCCAGAACAGTGTGCTCCCCCAAACCGGGTTAGCTCCCGAGTGTCTTCAGCCAGCGGGCCTGGGGAGATCGGCTCGGGGCGAGCGGCACCCAGCGGCTGTGGGGAGCCCTCGCGGCAGGCGTGGGTCACACCCTCGTGACCTTGAGCCCGTTCTGTCTAGCCAACGGCTCCCCTTGCCAGGCTGTGTCACCTCTGAGGTCTGTGTCATGTTAGTGTATCTTTTAATTTATTAACTTTTAGAGACAGAGAGAAACATCGATTTGTCGTTCCACTTATTGATGCATTCATTGGTTGATTCTTGTGTGTGCCCTGACCAGGGATCAAACCTACAACCTTGGCACATCGGGACGATGCTCTGACCAGCTGAGCTACCCAGCCAGGGCCATATAGTAGATATTTTAGATTGAACCATGTGGAATTGGTGGTGTTCAACCTTTGTTTTCCCTGGGGAAGAAAAAAACAATTTTATAGGTTCAGTGCCTGAGTGTAACACCGTCATGTCACAGAATGACACACCGATGATTTTGTAATAAACAATTTTGTAATAAAAGGGGGGCGTTATTTGTGCCGGACCCTGTATAATCAATATAATCACGGTATACTGGACTTCAGCTAGAAATACAATAGTAAAACTATAAACACTGATTTTTTAAAAACTCACAAGACTGGGATGATGAGAGACGGGAAGCCTGCACTGCGGGGGAAGGGGCACACGAAACCCCCACCTCCGACGGCAGGAAGGAGGCAAGTCACGTCGAACACTGGAAAACCAACACGGCGCAGCACCCGGACAGCGTCTGGGAGACGGAGAGAAACAGCAGGCGCGCTGTACGAGGAGGAAACAGAAGAGGCAGACGGCTGTAACCCAACAACAACAATAAAGCAACTCACGAGAGAGAGAGAGAGAGAGAGAGAGAGAGAGAGAGAGAGAGAGAGAGAGAGAGAGAGAGAGAGAGGACAGCGTCTGCCTCCGGGGAGAGGGAGGCACAGGTGAGTGCAGGTGTTTTCCTGTATCCGTGTTTAACCGTCTGAGTAAATGAAACACTAATAAGATTTATTAATTTGTAATCTAATTCTTTAGTTTAACAATCTCTAAAGGTAATCTTCCCATGTTACCACGTAACGTTCTACACGGCTACTTGAATGTTTGTGAATTATTCCCTCTTATGACTGGGTCCTGTTTCCCTTACCCGATCTTCTGTCCTGTTACTCGTGTGTTGACCGTTGCTCTGATTTTTGTCACTTTAGCGATCCCGCACAGTAAGTGCGCGGGAATGGCCATGATTGTGTTTCTGCACTGCGTTTTTACGAGCAGCGCTAACTGACAAGCACAACATCCGCTAAGCACTGCAGCGCACTCCCGCCCTCGGTCCTCACCACAACGCTGTGGGGCAGGAGCTATGACAGCATCCATGTTCTAGGGGAGAAAGCGGAGCTCAGAAGGTTGGTGACGTAACCGGTCCATGGGCATCGAGCCACTGAGCAGGGAGGACAGCCACGGAAACCCGCGTCCCGGACAATGACCTTCACTGTTCCTCTCGGTTCACGCGCCAGGAGGCGCCGAGGCCTCTGAGCCCTCCCAGTGCCCCCCGATTTCTCGAACGGGACTCGTGCGCGGAGGACGGGTGTGCCTCCCTGGCACCAGCTCCCGCCCGTGTCCCACCCACATCACGGAGCTCCGCTCGGGGCTGCACGTCGCCCTGGGGAGGGAGAAGACGGACAGGTCAGCGGCACGGCAGTTTGGGAGTGCAGTCGCTTTAGGAGGCCCGGAACCGGACAGCCAGGGACCCCGTTGCGGAGCAGGGGACGCCGGGGTTTGAAGGGGCAGGGGGAGCGTGCCTTGGGCAGAGGGCGAACCGCACTGGAGGAAGAGAGACTATTCCAAGAAAAGGCATAAAAACACCGAGTGCTGGACAGCACAGAGGAGTGCAGCCCGCATGGGACTTCGTGGGACGGGAGGAAGTCGAACGGGGACTGGACGTTCGGTTTATTCCCCACAAGCAAGCCCTGCTGAGCGGCACAGGACCAACACCATCAGGGTACATTTACACCCGAGAGATGGAGCTCGCGTGGGCAACCTGTGTCTCCCAGGACAGAAGGTCTCGGGACAAGGAGAAAGCACAACTAGAGAAACATTCGAGTCTGAGTGCGAGTCAAGCACAGTGAAGTGTGAACGCATGGCTGGTGCGACGAGGACTGGCGTTTGGCCCGGCCGCCGTGGGTGGCGGAGCGACCGCGTCACGGAAGCAAGGAGCAGCCCTGACGGGACGCCTGTTCTAGGAGCAGGGCAGGCCGGCGAGGCCGGTGCCGCGGGGACGCAGGGGGCGCAGCAGCCGCGAGAGCTCTCCCCAAGGTAGGACCCAGCGGGACAGGCTGGCCCTGGCCGTGGCTGTGAGGGGAGGAGGCCTGTC